ACTTAGTTTCTCGGGATCTCGAGATAATAAGTCGGGATCTCGAGATAATAAGTCGGGATCTCGAGATCTTGACTTAGTTTCTCGGGATCTCGAGATAATAAGTCGGGATCTCGAGATAATAAGTCGGGATCTCGAGATAATAAGTCGGGATCTCGCGATAATAAGTCGGGATCTCGAGATCTCGACTTAGTTTCTCGGGATCTCGCGATAATAAGTCGGGATTTCTTTCCTTTTTTTTTTTTCCTCCATGTCCCCTTAGGGGCTCCGTACTTTAAAGCTCTTAAGCGCAAGTTTCAATAAAGTATATGGGTGACTGCCTGCACTCATCTTCGATTCGAGCAACATTTTTTTGGGGGAGAACTATTTGGAGGGAGAGTGGTACACGTCCCCCCCCCCCTACCCCCTCATATCAGCTTTTGCCAGACTCGGTCTGTCCGTCTGAACCAAATTCTCATGATGTGTTTGGCTTTTTTTTTTTTTTTTTTTTTGCACAAATGCAACAACTGACCTGACAGTGAACTGTACAAAAACTATCTGGCTGTGTGGAGCCCAGGAGGTCAACATGCGGGGCTGTGTGATAACGCGCTGCTGCGTTTCTGTCTGAATCACTGAGCAGAAGAAATGAAGGAGAAAGCTCCCATTTATTTCTAGAAAAAAAAAAGCAAGCTGCATGTTTTTCTTTTTTTTTTCTTTTGAGAACAAGATGCTAAATGTTTCTGTCATCAGAATGTTCTTTTATTCTATAATAATAATGATAATAATAATAATAATAATGGAATTTGAATTATTTTCCAATATAACTTTAGTTAAACTTATATAAAAGGCAACCTATAAAAAAAGTATCCACACCCTTTAACATTTTTTGCATTTTCACAAAACAAAGTTGGTATTTTATATAATTAGCTGTAGCAAAGTAGCGCACAACTGTGGAACATGAACAAACAGTTGTTATTTTCTGTTCATTTTTTTTTTTACTAATTAAAAATAGGAAAAGTGTGTCGTATTTTGTGAAGTAAAATTTTACTTTAATTTTGCTAAATCAAATCTAAAGCCATTAACTGCCTTGAGAAGTCACATACTGTACTTTCTAACCACCTGCGGGTTTTTAATCTCAGTACAATTCCATCATTTTTTTCTGCTTCAGAGGTTTCTTTTTTGTTTTTTAAAGAACATCAGAGACACTAAAAGCATCACGAAGACCAAAGAACGCTGCAAACAGGCCAAGGAGAAGGTTGTGGAGACGTTCAAAGCAGGTTACCGTGACAAAATGTCACTGAATCAAATTAGGGTGCATAAATACTTGAGGACAGAGCAGAAGTTCATCTTCTGAAAGGACAACAACCTTAAATATGCAGACAGACCTACAGCTGCATAAAACGCATAGTCATGTATCAGAATGGCCCAGTCGAAGAAGTTAGAATAAAAACACTGCGATGGTCGTGGCAGCCTACCATGTTGTAATCCATTTCTCTTCTGTTCCCCGCTTAGTTTTATTCTCTCTGTCTTTCTCCTCTGCTTCCAGTGAAGTAGCCTGATTGTAAAAATCCTTCTCTTGACCTCCGACGCTGGTTTTCTCTTCGGTCTCTTTCTCCGTGCTGCAGTTTGAACTGTTGAATCCAGAGTCCAGGGTGTTTTCTTCATTTTGAGCATCTTGAACTTCTTCTCTGAGCTCCAGATTATATTCAGATCGCTGCTTCATGACATCCTCCGTTTGATCTGGAACGTCCTCGTCTCTGGGTTCCTGAAAGGCGGCAGCCGACTCCTCGAGCGTGGATAACTGGAGCACTGCGGCGTCCAGCTTTGGAATGATTTTGGTCACTCTGTCCAGGAGGTCCTCCATGTCTTCCCCAACGCTCAAAATGCCATCGGATTCTGAACGGGATGTAGTTTTATACTCTGAAACATCTGAAATCAAATAAAAACCAGTTTGTAAACATGCAAACAGGTTCACGAGAGATTAACGTAGTGCCTTTATTGTCCCCTTTGTCATAGGCTGCGTCATATAGTGAATATAGAATTCACTATATCTGAAATGCCAGCTTAGCGTTTTGACAGAAAGATAAATTTATTGGAAGTGAGTCTGCATTTCTTCTCTCTTGTCTTACTCATGTCAACGTTGCAAAGGGTTTGGACCAGAAAATGACCAGTAGGGTTTATTTAGATAATTCTGACACTAAATACTTTCACTGGCATCTTTCCAAAAGAGAGGGGGGGGGAAGTCTCAAAATTAATTCATCTTTTAATAGCCCAGTGACGGCCTGGCGACCTGTCCAGAGTGTCACCTCTCATGATCGCTGGAGTTTTTGTACCTTAATAAAATAAAACCAGCTTCAAGGGCGCAATCAATTGCTTAAAAATAAATATGTTTATGATATTTCAAGTTTTCTCGTACAACAACCCACACACGGTACCTTTTGTAGAGGCAGCGTGATGTTCATCGCACCCTTGTGGAAACTTTTCAAGCATGCCGGCGCATTCGTGAATAACCTTCCTCCAATCTGTCAGTATCTCCGCATGAAACTCATTCAGCTCTTTCAGAACTTCCACAACCTTCTCCTTCTGCTCTCTGACGACACTTCTGTTCCCCCCCTTGTCCTCCTCCTTGATTTCTTCTGGCCTGCACTTCCCTTCTTCCCTGTTGCCAAATGCTAATCCACAGCCCCTTTTTTCTTGAGAGCCCTTTTCCAAAGTGATGAGCAGACCGTCCCCGGTGTTTGTGCCGAGAGGACAGTTTGCTTCGTTGATCTGATGATTTCCAGGTTGGTCTGTATCCATGCTAAACTGGAAAATGACAAAGTTGACAGACAGAAATTCTCTCAGGGAGCCCTTTTTTTCCGCTGTTGTTGTTGTCTTCCCTTTCAATCTTCTTTATTCACATGAATATAAGCCCAGCTGTGTGTGGTTTTGGTGCCACCGGCAGTGAATGTTGGCGTGGCCCTCGTTGTCCCAGCGGGAGCCAAAAGCTGCATTCACACGGCTGACGGCAGTAAAAAATGTTGCTAAGGTGATACCCCACTCACCCCCCACCCAAAGGGCGGGCGGGACAGGGTTGGACAAAAAGAGAAGCCACACCAATGAAAAACTTTATGAGAGGAAAAACTTGTTTCTATTGTCATCTTCTGCTTTTCTGCTCCACAGTTTTACTGCATGAGTGAGCAGAAAGGAGATGCAACCTGGAGCTGCTCAGGAATTCGAACCCAATTTTAGGGGTATTTCTATCCTGAATAATCACAACGTTGGTAGTTTGCAAGGGATTCACGTGTGCTAAACGTGCCGTAAATTACATCTTTAGAAGGTTTCATTGCAATGCGAAGCCTTGAGCCGTCCTGTCACTGCGCCGGGCATCGTTTTCGAAGTTTCCTGAGGAGTTTTAGGAGTTTCTGTTGTCGGAACACATGAAGTACCTTGCAAATGTATGCAGAGCACTGGCATTATATGTGATAAACCAACCAACACAAGGCAGTGGTTATCTTTGACATGGAAAGAAAAGATACTCAGTTTTCCAAGTTTTCAATTCCAAACTCTGAGGCCTTCACAAAAGAGCTGGATCCACACCGAGATTGATTTTCTTGGATTTTATTTAGGGGTATTAGAATAACACAAATGCATTCCACACTTTGCATTTTGTAAGACGTTTTTTGAAAACCCTGTAGGATTATTTCGTCTTTGCTTTAACGCAGTGTGCTTCTTTATGCTCATCAAATAACACGTTTCCAAATACAACACACCGAATCTGGTGGCTTCAAACAAATTAAGGAGTGTGAATATATATATATATATATATTTTTTGTAGAAATCACAAAAAAAAATTTGTATGCGAATAAATTCACGTACAAATTTATTCGCATAAATTTGTATGCGAATATCTCAGTGACTATAAAACTGTTTCTTCAGACCAAGTTTCACCTACATTTTTAAAAGCAGTTAAAGCATCCATTATGTACTAAAATTCCACTCTGATATGTAACAACGCAAGACATTTAAGTTCCCTCAAGGTTGGTGGTTTTGGAGTTCTGCATATCACAATATTAAATGAAAAATCTTCTTAATAAAAGCAAGTATAATAAAAAAATGTTTTAACTTTTATGCCTCCTTCTTGGGTTGGCTTTGTTTCGATGCATGGTAGTGAACATTAGATATTGTTATGATTTGTTTCTATGTCCCACAGAACCTGCAGTACTCTGTCTCCATCATGTGGACAAGCAAAATAAGTGCAGTTCTTCACAGACCACTTATTCACAACACGATCCACACTGCGTGGTCCTTTTACCCCAATAAATCCTGATAAAACGCCGCAGCATTTAGATTCACATAAGGTCATGTTGAAATGTGCTTCCCCTTTTGTTCTTTGTTTTCTGAGCATATGATTGGCTCAGCAAGATATCCTGGGAAACATCCTAAAAATATTCTCTCTGTGCATTAAATTTGTAAAATTTAGTTTTTAGATTTAACTAGGAACATTAAAAAAATGCTGAAAAGGGTAAAGACCCACTTTGGATTCAAAAGACAAGTTTTTTTTTTTTTTTTTTTTTTTTT